GCAGTCATTGGAATAAAGAGAGAAAAGCAGCGGGGAAAGCACACATCCCTGAGGGGCACCTGTACTGATTAACCGGGTACTGGATGTAGTTTTACCTAACCTCACGTGTTGTTTCCTACCTGTTAGAAAACTGATTATCCACCTACAGAAAGTCCACAATAGCACTCTCACAGCCACGAAAAACAGGAGGAATTGTATAAGCAGAAAACTGTCTAACATTTAAAAGTTCATTCCTAGAATATGTAATCTGCAATGAACTGCAGAATACAAAGAAAAACACCAAACCCATCAAAGAGTGTTTCACCGAGGCTGCCATCCGTGGCACCATCTTGAGGTAATGGGACTTCATGCAGCATGAAAGAGCAAAGATTAGCTGTGATCACTGAGCTGTCAGCGCAAATCATGCATTATAGAAGTATAAATCTTTTGCAAAGCTCAGAGGTATCAGGCATATAGACCTTATGCCTGTGCTTGACTATACCACTTGGAGAATTTGTAGTTGGATCATACAGCACAGACTACATAAATTTTCAGATTTGGACCTCAAAAGTTCTGGGAACTTTTGTATGAATGAGTTTTGGGAACTCATTCATACAAAATCGATGGCTCTTCATAAATAATAAATAGCAAAAATTACTGGGGCTATATGAGCACAGGTTTTGTTTTCTTTAGGGAATGCGGTTGTACTGTTCAGGTAGAAATAGAAAAAGGAAAACATCTTTCTAACTACAAGACATATCTCTGACCTGGAATATAAGCTATTTTAGGCTTCATTCACTATTTTGAATATTCAATCCTAAGTATTTACAAACATGCAAGTTAATTTGGTAAAGAGGAAATATGATCAGCTCAACTAAAAGTGTTCATTGGTTGACAGCAATGCATATTTTGATGTCCAGAACCAATCATTCTAATCTTACTGGAAATCAGGCATGCATGAGGAGGTAATGATTAAATTCTGTGCAATTTTCCTGTCCTGTTTCTCTACAACTTCCCACATATCCCCCACATGTATGGGATCATGTCAAGGGATGAAAAGGGACAAGGAGCATATAGAACTGGAGGTGCAGAAGAACATAGTTACACAAATGAAAATGTACTCCTATTGGATTTCAGCCAAATAGTAATATTTTCTTCTACATGGCAATCCTTCCCTTCCCTTCAAATGAAAACATATTATTTTGTAGTCACAGCCAAAACATTTATCCTGTCCACCCCCAAAGGGAAATTAAATTCATTTTTTAACATTTGTTCTTGTTTCTCTAGTCTTTAATATTTAATATGTTTCTAGCCACATTTAATATTTTCTTCTTTATCTGCACATAAAAATCTTTTGGATTAAAGTCATACAAGCCACTTTTGTGTTCGTTATCATAAAAAAAGAAAGGTTTGTTTTAGATCATGACAATCGAAGTCTAGATTGTTTGTCTCATGTTCCACAAAGTATTCCAAATTTTGGGCCAAAAAGATGAGCTACAAACCTTTTAAAATGACACCAGTGAGTATACAAAATGGGTTCATAGTGATCTGTTTTTGTTTTTTGTTTTAAAGTACAGGTATGACTAATGTTAATATGATTGTCTAATGAGATATGGATAACTTTCTGTCTACCATAAGCTTTCTGTTTCAACATGTATGGTCCCCTATTAAGCATCAGAAGAACTGGAGATGTTTGAAGAATTTGATCTTTGCAAGTACTAGTATAAGCTCACCTGAAATACATGTCCTAGACCAAAGCATAAATCAGAATGGATTTTGTAATTCTAAAAATGTTTTCTGTCCAAAACCATACTAAAACATATTTTATTTCAATGTGAATTTTCATACAGATTGTATAACTCTCATATTATATCCAAGCAGCATTTATTCCTCTAAAACTACTATAAACTGCCTTCCAGGCAACTTAAACTTCTGGTCATAAAAAAGTTATAATAAAACAAACATTTTGCCTCCAACATTATGAAAGATGGGTGGTAACAAATTAATTTTTTTGTCAGTGTCACCCTAGAGAATAGATATGTAACACACTGCTGGTATAATGCCCTACATGTTTGGACCTTTCATGACTCAACTTTCTTATGTCCATAAATACTGCCAAATATAATTTACGCTATTTGCAGTATGTACCACTATAGGGAAAGACATTAACTATAATACTTCTTTCCAAAATTGTCAAAATTATATTGAAACCAAAATGAAACTATAGCTAGAGAAAACAAGATCTTATGGGTTAAAGAGCCTTCCAATTTTTAGCAATGCCAGTGTAATAAATCTAATGTCCAAATCATTTTAAACATTCTTTGAAGAATAACACAAAATAAATTTGTGTTGTTTACACCAATAAACACAAAACAATATTTATTAATTTACTGATAATTTTATTTTTACATCATAAGTATATTTGTTTTTTTTAACACCTGGAGCCATAGATTCTCAAAACTGGATATTCCAGTTCTTGATTCCACTATTTAGATATACAGTATAACCTAATGCTAACTTTTATTTTATTTTTTAATTCCTTATAAAATTTGATTGTGGGTTTCTGTTCAAGCATTACATCCTAAAATTACATGTACCTCAATGGCCATAGAGAGCAAGTAAGGTGATCTTGACATAAATAGATCAGATACATTGCCAAAGAAACAAGGGGAAAAATCTTTGAGTGAGATGGGCAGTGACTATCTATATAATATAAATAAATAAAATAAATAAAAACATAGCTTAAGTCCAAAACAAAAAGCCAGCATGCATGAAAGAGTCAGGAAGACACCTTCCTAATTCACATTAGTATAAGGGGGGGTGGGGTGAAGAAAGTAAAGCATAGTCAGATTTGTAAGATTCTGTTACTATAGCCAACATTAATAAACATAATTTT